AGATCAATTCCCAGTCGCAGCGAACCCCATTTTCAATACAGAGCGAAAAACGCTTGCGGCCTGTGTACTTAGGTACACGTGCACGTTAAAGAAGACTGGATGGTCAAAATGCCTGGAACCCTCCACAACTGCGTCACTCATATTGTGGTTTTGGGGTTAAACACCAATCATTATATTATTACCACGACAACAAAAACAATGACAGCAGAGAGTAGACAAAGACAGCCTTGCTGCAAAGAGATTTGCTTTACTCACCTGCTTGAAACTATCAACACAGCGCCTCTCCATCCAGGACTTGAGCGTCTCGATAAAGCAGCCTGAGAAGAGAACGCCCAGTGCCGAGCGATGGAAGCTCTGCGCCCGCAGCCGCTTGCAGAAGGACAGCAGCCACTCTTGTGGCGGTGGTTCCGCAACGTCAATTGCGGAGTCGAACACCACTGCCACCCTTGTTGGAAGGGTTGAGGTAATCACCCGTGTCTACCGGAAGCACGCCCCCAGATGATGTGGATTGGCAGTTGGGGAAGGGGTCCTGAACATGTGTAGAAAAAAACAAGAATTCATCGTCATCATCATTATCATCATCATCAGCAGCAGCAGCCTGACCATGCTCACTGCAGGGCGAAGTTCTCCTGTGTTTTTCCAATCAACCAGGTCAACTATCATACAGGAAGGTAAATATATTTACTAGATGTAAACATCTATTTCGTCAGTCTGGTACACTTTCCAAGAAGGCATACAAGCCTTGCCATGTTGAAAACATCATTACTTCGACGACGGAGCTTCTTGAAACATTGACCCAAGGCTGCAGCTTCGATTCCGGTCATGTTTGACATAGGTGATATTCTTAGGGCTGATTTACTGGGCAAGTCATCATACTCGTCATTATAATCATTGTCAGCTTGATTGTGCCCACTACTAGGCAAGGACTCCCCCAGTTCCACCAATCAACCTGGTCCTGTGCGTGCTGCTGCCCGGTTACACCTGCAGCTTCTTAATTATCAGCCCTTCTGACCTCTGTCTCTCCCTTGTGCACTGCAGTATCTTGGAATCCAGTCAGTTACCCTCAATGAACAGCGGTTATCTTCTCTATGCACTACATGCCCTGACCAAGCCCATTTCTTCTTCTAGATTTCAACTAATACCCCTGTCGCACTGGACAGTTAATGTCATTCGAAGAAAATGGCATTCGCATATAATGACATTATGCGGCTGCTACCCAGCGATATATCGTGTCATTAGAATCGAATGACTTAAGCAATTGAATGAGTTCAAGAAACGCATTCATTGTGACAGTCGAACCAATCGTATACTCTTCCCGGAGACTAGTTTAAAAGGTGGCATTCGGAATTTTCAATTTGACCCGCATTCATAGAAACACGCTATTAACGTTGCTTTTTTTAAAAGCACCCTTCACTTTAACGAGGGCAGGAGTACAGAGGCTGCCGTAAAATGTCTTTATTCTCCAACTCAGTGGCGTCTGGGCACCGGTGCTGTTGGCCATGATGTAAACAAGCAGATGCCTCTGTGCCCATGTGTGCATGTATCTGCAGGGATGGTGTCAGCCGCACGAGCGCAGTGAGCCAAGGTGGAGACGTTTGCTCTCATAAGGCTATGACAGTTTCGTTGCAAGCTGTTTGCTTAAACGGACACTTGTGGGACCGTGTTTTAAAGTGAACAGGTTACTAAGATACACCTCATTAACTCTTATTGCTAACTCTTTTCAATCTAGGGCCCTGAAAACCTCCTGTAAACATGCAGTGAATAGACCTGGAGAGATAGTGTCTCCCTGCCTTACACCCTTCATTATTGGGACTCTGTTCCTTTCTTTAGAGAGAACTATGGAGGCTGTGGATACACTGTAGATTTCTTATAGTATGCTTATGTAGGGTACTTCGATGCTTTGATTCTGTAGTGCCTGCATTACTGCTGTTGTCTCGACTGAGTCAAATGCCGTCTTGTAATCTATGAAGGCTATGCATAGGGGTTGGTTGTATTCTGAGCGTTTCTCTATTACCTGATTGATAGTATAATATGGTCTATTGATGATATGGTCTATTGTAGAGTGGCCTGTACGAAATCCTGCTTGGTCCTTTGGTTGATTGAACTCTTAATGTCGTCGTACCAATTCTATTAGCTATTATTTTTGTAAATAGTTTGTAGAGAGCGGCAAGTAAGCTGATCGGCCTGTAATTTTTCAAGTCATTGACGTCTTCTTCTTTATGAATTAACATGATGTTCTGTTCTGCCAAGATTCTGGTACCCTTCCCGTGAAGAGACATTTCGTATATAAGATGGCCAGTTTCTCTAACACAATTTCTCTGACATCTTTCAGCGGGTTCGTTGTTACTTTATCCTCATCAGTGCCTTTGTTTCTTTGAATTCTTTCTATATAGTACCATACGAATTCAATTCCAGATTATCTGACCAAAACCACTGCTTATGTTCTGTCTTTAGCATCGGGACGATGCTTTTTCAAAGGGGGGTATGACACGGTGGTTCTTTTGGTTTACGAAGAAAGCCGCTATCACTTTCTGTTAAGCGCAACGCAGGCCGCGTTTATCTTGTATGCCACTCTGGAACGCGTTATGACGCGTGTATAAAAGACTGACACGTGCGCAATGCAGGCCGCGTTTATCTTGTATGCCACTCTGGAACGCGTTACGACGCGTGTATAAAAAGCCGGCGCAGTGCGCCACTGGGGTCTTCTTTTTTTTTTCCGTCGGCCGACGACCTGTTCACGCCGCTGTTGCTGTGAGTTGTGTTTGGGCCTGTTTTGCTGGGCACAAGTTCGCCCAATAAACAGTTCGCCTGACACCGCCCTGACTCCTGCGTGCTTCCTCTCAAGTGCTGCGTGTATCACAACCTCGTGACAATATATAAAAAAAAACTGTATGAGGGAGTGTATAAGGATGTTTATAAGGAGTATATTAGGGGTGCATAGCAGTATAGAGGAACTGTAGAAGGAGTACAAAGTTGTGCAGAGTTGTGCAAAGTTGTACAAAGTCGTTGCAAGTCTATATAGACCACGACTGTACGTCGACGAGATCACATGAATCACCGCTCTGGCATCACGAAGTGTGCCAAAAAACTGCCAGGCCTATGTAGAGCGGGCAGCGCAGTGACAGCAAAAGCTGAAAGAGAGCCTTTCAGAGCCTTTCTAAACACTCTTTGCATAACTGCTACATGCACACTTGCAGGGCACCCACTACACCCTACTAATCATAATTTTTGTGCAGTAGGCCAGAATTCCCTAATAGGTGCTATCCTTCCTCATTCTTCTGAGAAGTGTGGTATCCACTACACACTTGCAAGAAATTTTCTTCAAATTTTTTATGCAGTCGCTGACCACGATCAAGAATCATGCCTGAAGTGGGTATGTGCCATAGTTTATAGGTCATCAAGAACAAGCTTTTGTAACGAATTGGAGCACTAGACAACCCACTCCTTATGCAATTTGCATTGTGTGATGCCTGGTTGTTCCTTTGCTCGTTTTAAAATGCTTACAGTCGAACCCCGCCACAACGAAACTCACAGGGCGCGGAAAATATTTCGTTGAAGCGAGAATTTCCTTGTAGTGAAATAAAAAAATATAGCTGATCTAAACTAGCAGAACAAGGAACATTTATTCTTAAAATAAAAAAGTGTCCGCTGCTTCCTATTCTTTCCTAGCAGCGTCACGACGCGATTCACAGTCATGCATAGCGAGGCCATGGTGAAAAACCACGCTACAACCGCTTTTATGAATGTACCAAACAGTTGCAATAACACGTTAACACCAGCAGCTGTCCGTCGTCAAAGTGTATCCGACAACGCCGAGATGCAGGCAGGGTATTGTGGAGGGGTGACTTTTGCCTTATTCTATGCCATTTTTATCATTTATCACTCGCGGCTAGGTGATTTGGTTGATAATACGGATGAACATTTGCTCTGATTAGGTAACACACTGGTCAAGCGCAAATAAAATGGTAATCATTGGAATCTGAAAAGGCATCGCTCCGCGGTTGCACCCAACAGCTGCGTGAAGGAACCATGAGCAACTGAGCGACCGAGCTTCAGCTTCGGATCGTCTGCGGCTCAAAAGCAAGCCAGTGGCAAAAGCAGGGCCTGGCAGGGCAGGTCTATTGCCATCGCTATCGAGCAATGGCAGTGCCCATGCTTGCTGAAAAGCGGTGGTTTCTGGCGGTTTTTACGCGTGTTTCAGGCTTCATCAATGTACTTTCAGGTTCTGAAAATGCAATAAATATCTGAGCCTGGGATTGCATTGTGAAATTTCGTTGGAAGCAGGACGGCAGAAAAAAAAGTGTTTGTTGTGGCGACAATATTTATGTATTAACTACTATGGATTGCTGACGGAGAACAGTGAATTTTTCATTGTAGTGGAAATTTCGTTGAAGCGGCGTTCGTGTAGCGGGGTTCGACTGTATCACTCATATTAACACAATTATTCTCCGAACATGAAGCCTGCCTATGGCAAGTTTGCAACGGAGTTTCAAGCAGCGGCGTGGCTGTGCGGTAGAATACTGGCCTGGCATGCGGGGGACCCGGGTTCGGATACCGCTGTGTCCTTGGTGTTTTTATTTAACGAAATTTTTTTTAATTTCATGCGATAGTGGTTATAGACATCAGTGGCGGTGATGGCAGACAACTGCAGTGCTGAATTCGACCCTTGTTGTGATCTCATAACAGCTTTCGCTATAAATGATGAGAGGTACCAAAAGAGAATAACACGCTCGCATTTTGTGTTTTGACAGACATTTTTAAAATTCCTTTAATGGAGCATAAGCTAAATTAAAAAAAAAGCTTTCTCTACCTTCCATAAAAATTCTGTATCACCTCTATGCCATGCTTTGCACAGACTCTGTTCACCTTCAGATCTGTTCCAAAGCAAAAGCCCAAAATAGACCGTGATGACAACTTACCCTGTTGCGTGCCTTCTCGAACCAGAAGCGCTCCTTCAGATCGAGGTGGTAACGCTCAAACAGGTGGCTGGCGCTCAGCACTTAGAACTCGGGCGACTCCAGGAGGCGCAGACGAGGGTGGACAAAGATGGCCACGGCTCCGCCGGCTGCCACCAGGGCGAGCGAGAGAAGCCAGAACCACCGGAGCCTGATCACGATGCAGGAAAGGAGCTTGTCGTAGAAGACGCGTGCCGCTTCTGAAAGGCTGCATCACGAGTCAAGATGAATGCAGTCACATTGTTGGACTCTGCCTTTGTCAAACTAGGGTGCCTGACAAAGGCCTCGGCCTTTGTCAGGCACCCCAGCCTTTAGCCCCGGCTTCCTCTTTTGTATGAAAGGAAAATAAACTTCACTTCACTAATTAGACACTTAGCACTGTGAAGTACTGCTGAGTAGTAGGCTTGAGCAAACATTTGACCACTTTGTATATCCGAATGAATAATTCTAATATTTGAATTCGATTTGATTCGAGTTTAATTTACAGAAAATTTCAACGTATTCAAAATGAACGAATAGGTGTAAATCAGTCCGACACCGCTGCGCCATGTAGCCTTTCACAAGTGCACTTCCCGCCTGGTGCTCAACGGAACAAAGTTATAGTCCCTTGGAAGGACACCCACCCCGTGGAGAATCGGCGGCATGGAACCGCCAGAATTTCCACTTCATGGTTCAACTAACATCCACGCTCGTGCTGTGTCATCTGCCTCAGTCTTTTTTTGTATAGCCATGCTCCCAGTTACCCTCACATCAATGCATCATTTTTTAAAGTTGAAATTGTCGTACAACCTTGTATGCTCTAAGTATAGTAAATTTTAAAATGCAGTACATTTCACAGGTTGTAACTTGAATTCTACTGAAAGTGAAATTCTGCGACCATTTAAAGTTGCGTCCCCTTCTCTTGAACAAAAAAGAATTACATTTGCAAATGCGTCGTTCCGATTAAAAAAAAAAAAAAGACGGTTGTGCGGGTTAGTTGGTTCGTGGCAAATACGCTTATTTTGATATACCCTATTAGAATTCGATTCAAGATTATTTGACTAAATTCACTATTTGCTTTGAATTCACTGCGAATCTAAAATTTGCTACTCTGCAAGCCTACTACTACTACTACAGCAGCAATAAATGGCTTGCAGGTGCTCGTGGATCGCTTGACTGCCATTGAACGTACAGAGAAGGAACTATTTTCAAATACACCTAAAAAGCAAGAACATAGTGAAACAATCTGCAGTTAAACAATCTTTACAGGGCATGTTAGATGCGGACTGATATACACCTATTCGTTCATTTCGAATAAACCGTGAATGAAAGCGTGGTTGACACGCGCCTCAATGCAACCTTGTTTTTCTGCGCATCCAAAAAATGCAGTCAGGTTTGCTTGTCAGGTTTAACTTCCCGAGCCCTTGCTGCATTTAAATGCTACAAAGTCGTTCATTTATAGATGGCGTTCCTAAGCCACCTCATCAAGAATTTTTAATGCCAGAGGCAGCTACTGCGGAGAACAAGATGTTTCGTGGCAACCATCATTGCGTTAGCTTACCCAACTCTTGATTTACACCAAGACCAGCACTTTAAGCATCCCAGTACTATATAAGACATTTGATGCTGTTGTGACGACGTTTATTCGAGCAGAGAAGTCGCAACGAGGTCGCAACGGAGAGTAGGCGTACGGCAAGTCTGGCAAAGGCGGCACAAACTCTCGCGCAAGCAGAGCACGGGCTTTTCATTGTCTTCCGAAGGCGCATACGCGTTGGTGCATATGCTCCACTACAATACCCCCGGGGTGAAGGGTAGCCATCCTGGCGACTCAGGGAGTGGGCACAATGAGGGGGTCGTGGTAGGGCTTGAGACGGTCGACGTGTACGATCTCGCGTCCTCGATGACGCAAATCTGGTGATTGTGTTAATGGCTCGATGATGTAATTCACCGGGTAGGTCGCGTCAATGACACGGTACGGACCATGGTACCGGGCCAGAAGTTTAGAAGACAGGCCAGGAAGGTGGGGGGCACCCAAAGCCACACAAGGGAGCCAGCACGAAATGTAGTAACTATGTGGTGAGCGTTGTCGTGTCGAGTCTTTGTAGACCTTGAGCCTCACTTGTCAGAGACCGAGCCAACTGATGGCAGTCTTCAGCGTATCTGGTGACTTCCGAAAGCAAGGAGCACTCAGATGCATCAGGGGCGGTACGTAGTATAGTGTCGAGTGGGTGGGAAGGTTCGTTGCCGTACAATAGAAAGAACGGGGGAAAAAACCGGTAGTCGCTTGCGTCACAGTGTTATAAGCGAAGGTAACAAAGGGTAATACAGCGTCCCAGTTATGTGTGGTCGGAGGAGGTGTACATCCTCAGCATGTCGCCAAGTGTGCGGTTTGAAACCGCTCAGTAAGACCATTTGTCTGTGGATGGTATGCGGTAGATTTCTCGGTGGATAATGTTGCATTCAGCGAGGATAGCTTGGATGACCTCCGACAGGAACACTTGACCCCTATCACTCAGTAATTCCCGCGGAGCACCATGGCGTAGAATGAAGCTGCGGAGAATGAAGAGTGCAACTTCGTGGGCGGTCGCTGCCGGTAATAGCGTGCAGTCTCAGAGTAGCGTGTCAGATGATCGACTCCGACAATAATCCATCGGTTTCCAGAGCTACTATATGGGAGGGGGCCATAGAGGTCTATACCCACGCGGTCGAATGGGCGAGCCGGGCACGGGAGCGGCTGTAACATGCCAGTAAGGTGCCGTGAAGGTGTCTTGTTCTGTTGGCAAGTGGTGCAAGACTGAACGTATTTCTGCACAAAGCGATACATTCCTCGCCAGTAATAGCGTTGGCGCAGCCTTTCGTAGGTTTTCAGGATGCCTGCGTGAGCACATTGGGGATCTGCATAGAAATTCATGCAGATGTCAGAGCGCATATGAGTTGGGACAGCAAGGAGCCACTTCCGACCACCAGGCATGTAGTTGCGGCGGTACGGAATGTGTCTCGTAAGGAAAAGTGGGCTGCTTGCCGGCGTAGCGCTCTCGTGGAAGGGGACAGCAGACGGATCGGTAAGGTAGTCGACTAACAAGGCAAGGTATGGGTCTTTACGCTGCTCCGAAAGCATGTCAGTGGTGTCGAGTGGTGACAAGGTGGTAAAGGGGGTGACAGAGAAGCCACATCTGGTGTTAATGGCGATCGGGAAAGTGTATCGGCGTCCGCATGCTTGCGGACCGGAACGATATGCGACACGGATGTCGTATTCCTGCAATCGAAAGGTGCCCAACCCCCAGACGTCCGGACGGGTCTTTCAAGGTGGACAGCCAACATAGAGCGTGGTGTTCTGTAACTACATCGAAAGGACGGTCGTAAAGGTACGGGCGAAACTTCGTAAGCGCCCAGATTATGGCCAAACACTCCTTCTCTGTCACGGAGTAATTCAATTCAGCCTTCTTAAGAGCGTGACTTGCATAAGCGACTACGTATTCAGTTTGGGTGCCTTTCCGTTGTGCCAAAACTGCGCCAAGACCAACGCCACTTGCATCAGTGTGAACTTCTGTGGCAGCAGTGGGGTCGTAGTGGCGAAGAATAGGTGGCGAGGTCAGCAGGCAGCGCAGCTGGTGAAATGTGTCGTCACATGCAGGTGACCATGCAGATATACCTTTGCTGTTGGAAAGCAGACTAGTCAGAGGTGCAATGATGGACGCGAAGTTGCGCACGAAGCGACGAAAGTAAGAGCAAAGACCAATGAAACTTCTTAGGGCTTTCAGTGATGTGGGCATTGGGAAGTCAGCGACAGCTCGAAGCTTATGGGGGTCTGGAAGAACAACGTCTCTTGTGATGACGTGTCCCAAGATGGTTAGTTTTCGGGCTGCGAAGTGGCACTTCTTGGTGTTAAGTTGTAAGCCTGCAGAAGCTAGACACGTCAGAATCTCGTGGAGACGACGAAGATGTGTCGGGAAATCAGCTGAAAAAGACTACGATGTCATCTAGGTAACACAAGCAAGTTTTCCGCTTGTGGGCCCGCAATATGGTATCAATTCTGCGCTCAAACGTCGCAGGCGCGTTGCAGAGCCCAAATGGCATGACTTTGAACTCATATAGGCCATCCGGCATTACAAAGGCTGTTTTAGGGCGATCACATTCAGCCATTGGCACCTGCCAATACCCAGAACGCAGATCCAAGGATGTGAAGTACTCGGCGCCTTGTAAACAGTCAAGAGCATCGTCTATTCGTGGTAGCGGGTAGACGTCTTTCTTTGTAATCTTGTTTTAGGCGGCGATAGTCCATGCAAAATCGAACGGTGCCATCTTTTTTCTTTATCTTTATCAGAACCACGGGTGACGACCAAGCGCTTTGAGAAGGCTGTATGACTCCACGTTTAAGCATGTCATCTACTTGCTCCGTAATGACGCGGCACTCTTCAGCAGAAACGCGGTAAGGACGCTATCGCAGAGGCGAATGTGAGCCGGTGTCAATAGCATGAGTGACAGTCGTGGTGCGGCCCAAAGCAGGTTTCTGAAAGTCGAAAGAAGAGCGAAACTTGTTAAGGAGAGCAACAAGTTGGCTGCGATGCGAGGGGGGAAGGTCTGCGTCAATAGCATTGTCGAAGGCTGGCGAGCTTGATGGCTCAGACGCCTGAGTGATTGCGGCAATGTGACATGGCGTTTCATCGGGAAGAATAATATCATTGATATGGTCGACAGGTTGCACATATCCTAACGTTTCACCACGAAGCAAGCCAAGGGGGTAGTTGCAGTGGTTGGTAACCAGCATTACGGTTAAACCAGACGCAATCGTAAGAACGGCAAATGGGAGCACGATGCCCTTGCGTTCAGTAAAAACAGGGGATGGTGTAAACACCACCGTGGCGCCAGGTTGCGCCACACATGAAAGGCTAATAGGGACTGAAGCTTCCGGAGGCAAGGTGATGTCGTCGTCAGCAATGAGTTTGCAGAGCAGTGGTGAATAGTCGGGCGATGGAAATTCACAACTTGGCACTAGGGACACTTCCGCACGGCAACAATCGATGATAGCTTCATGACCTGATAAGAAATCCCAACCCAGGATGAGGTCATGAGAGCAAGATGATAGTACGAAAAATTGGACGATGTACAAAACGTCTTGGATGACAACGCGCGCCGTACACACAGCCGAGGGTTGAATGCGTTGCGCGCTAGTTGTGGACAGCACGATGCCACAGAGAGATGTGGACACTTTCTTCAGTTTGTGACAAAATTTTGCGTTCATCACAGAAACGGCGGCCCCAGTATCAATTAACGCTTGTGTGGCGACTCCCTCAACATTGACATCAACAACATTTTGCAGCGAAAATGGAGGCCTTGATAATTGCGCAGAAGTTGCAGTTCTTGCCTCTGGAACTGCACTGATTAGTTTCCCTCCTCAGGAGGTGGTCTACGACGCATAGGAGATGGCGATCGGTGACGAGGAGATGGGAAACGAGAAGTTGATGGGCGATGATCCGAGTCAGAGTGCCTCTGTTCATATGCAGACGTGGTGGCCTGCTGCGACACATAGGTAGGAGTTCCAAAGGAGGCGTACGCAGGTGTGGGACGGCGGCGGCAGTAGCGGTGCAATGTGGCCAGCGATGCCACACGCGAAGCAGATAGGACGGTTGTCATGGGTGCGCCACTCATTAGATGGACGGAAAAAGCGAGGTGAGGGCCTGTAAATCGGAGGCGCTGCCGGAGGAAGTGGAGCCGATAAGGATACCGGATGCAGTGGGGGCCGCGCAACCACAGCTGCATAGCTGAGAGGTGAAGATGGTGCAGGTGGTGTGTAGCTGACAGCTGAGAGATTAGATGCTGCTGAAGTGCATGCGTAAGGAGCCTGCACTGTAGGTAGGACATCGCAAATTTCAGTGCGTATGGCCTGCTGCAGTGTCGAAGGCAGACTTGCGGTGGCGCGCCGCTATGCGGCAGCAGGGAGAGCTGTCGGGCGACTTCCTCCCTGATGAAGTCTTTGATCTGGTTGGAGAGACTTTCTGGCGAACGTTGGCATTTTCGAGTGCGACAGCCGAGATCGAATCTGGTGGTGAGACACTCTGTCGGGCGATGGAACGCTGACGGGCGTAATTCATCGAAGCTCTGGCACAGGCTTACGAGGATTGCCACCGAGGTCGGGCTTTTCGCTAGCAACATCTGGAATGCGCCATCCTCAATGCCCTTGAGAATCTGCCGAATTTTCTCTTCTTTGGGCATAGATGGGTTAACACGCCTGCAGAGGTCGAGCACATCCTCAATGTAACTTGTAAACGTTTCGCCAGGCTGCTGGGCTCTGTGGCGCAGATGCTGGTCAGCGCGGTGCTTGCGGACCTCTGGTCGGCCGAACGCTTCAGTTACGAGGGTCTTAAAGAAGGACCAGTTGGCGATGGCGGATTTGCGGTTGGTAAACCAAAGCTTAGCTACGTCTGCCAAGTAAAAGATAACGTAGGCGAGCTTAGAGTCGTCATCCCACTTGTTGCTAGTGCTTACGCGTTCGTTCAAGGAGAGCCAGTCTTCGACGTCTTGCTCACCACTTCCGCTGAAGATTGGTGGGTCCCGCTGGTGAGTAGCGCCGGGGCAGGTAGACGGGGCAGCCGATGGTGCTGGCTGGGCTGGAACGGGCTGGTTGGTGACTGCGTCAGTCATGTTTCGCGGTAGTTTTTCAGGCAACTTGCGAGAGCGGAGCTCCAGGTCTGCTTGGGGATCTCAGCAGCCTCCACCAAATGTGACGACGTTTATTCGAGCAGAGATGTCGCAACGAGGTCGCAACGGAGAGTGGGCGTACGGCAAGTCTGGCAAAGGCGGCACAAACTCTCGCGCAAGCAGAGCACGGGCTTTTCGTTGTCTTCCGAAGGCGCATACGCGTTGGTGCGTATGCTCCACTACACTGTGTAAAGCTTACCTCAGTGGCATTCACCACCCATACATTTTTAACATCACGATTAATACTCAGACTACGGAAGATGCTGCTGTGGAGTGCTGTTAAGCAGACTTGCTTTACAAATATCACAATTGAAGTTTTGTCAAACTATTGGGAACCTGTTGAGTACTGTTTGGAGCCATGCAGACAGACTGGCAATGAACTTTATTAAGAAGCCATACAGCCACACGAAAAAATATCACAAAGTGACATGAATCAGCACAATGAAAACTTCCATTTGCTGTTTCAAATAACAAAAACTTGTTTGTTTTTTTCTTAGTCTGTGCCATTGCATAATAGTGGTCATAATGTGATATCGTGCCTGCATACCTGATTCAAAGCTGTCTGCTATAGCATTCCTCATAAAATACCGTGCGATTTTATGACATGGAACCCCACGATTAAAAGATTTACTGATGTCACATACTTGGTATTATAGTAATAATAGTAGAGGTTCTACGTCACAAAACCACTGTATCGTATGGTGCAGCGGAGGGGCTCAGCAAATTTCAAATACCTGTTGTTCTTTGCACCTAAATATTCACATAGATGCCCCTAAAATGTAGCCTCCATGGAAATGTGGCTCTTGCAGCTGGGATTCGAGCACCATAAACACTAGGCTGCAACGGCAAATAGGACCTCAGTAAACTTGGAGGAATCGATGAAGGGTTGCCAGCAGCACCACACTTTTTTTTTCCTTCATAGCTCACACTCGAATGACAACGTCGAGCAGTAGCAGTGCAATTCGTCATCGACGCATTCCTGACACTTGCGAATCTTGAACATACACCCCCGTGGAAAATTCCGTTATCTCGCACCAGTTACGGCACCCAAAGACTTAGCCACATGCTACCTACTATATTGAACTCATACGAGCAGCAAGACATAAAAATTGACACATTAAACAATATCGATGTGCAAACACTATTCTTGTAAATTTGTATTGTTTACATAGATCACTCTGTATTGCTTTGCATCATTTATTGCATACCATTATATATTTATTGTTTCCTTATTACTTCTTTTGTGTAACCTCATTGTGCACCTTTCTTATGTACCAAAGGGATGATACATACTCCGCGAATTACTGTGCTCATGTGTTTATGAAATATTCCTTTTTGTTTGTATACCTTGGCCTGTCATTTACTTTGTCTTCTGCTTGTATTGTTTTCTGCTTTTTAATATTTGTTTTTTTATTTTATTGTATTTCGTTTTCACCCTGTCAATGCTGATGTAGGGTGGACGGTGCTTAGTCAAGCTGCAATAACTGCAGCTTTTTTGCCGGTCCCCATTTTCACCATTAAATCTGTTTTGGTGAAATAAATAAATAAATATAATAAATAATAATAATCATAATAAAGACGCTCGTGTAAAGTTACAGATTCCTGGCGGATCGCTGAAGCGGATTCACCGACCCTGTGATGGAGGCGCCACAAGGCGGCGCAGGACTGGGGGCGCAGGCACAGAATCGCTTCAGCCGGGGCAGGTACACGCCGAAGGGGGGCACGCACAGGCAGCACGTGGAGAAGCACCACTTCTCGGCAACGATGAGAGCCGCGGGCAACCACGTCACCGTGAAAAAGAAGCTCGCCAGCACAGCCGTGCCGGCAAACAGGCTGAAAGAGGGAAAGACAGCAAGCAGCGGCTATTACAATAATTGTAGCAGTCTGGGGATGTAACTGGTCAATAATAATATAATAATATAATAATAATAATAATAATAATAATAATAATAATAATAATAATAATAATAATAATAATAATAATAACTAATCACTAAAATTAAATAAATAGTAGATAACAAGGAAGACGTGCTGCATTCTACAGAGTGTGTAGGCGATGAGACATAAAACCTAAGAATAAGTGCACGCTCCGCTCAAAGCTACTGCTGTCCCACCCTAAGAAAATTTGCATAGACAACTCATCCGATGACGTGTGCTCATTTCTGTAACATGAAGTACCTTTGCTGGTGGTTTTTTTTTTATAGAGATGCGTTAGTGTTGCTAGTTTTTGGTCGAAGTACATGGAACTTCCTGGCAGATTTCAGCAAAAGTTTCGACATCATTCTTGGGGAATTGCAATGTTTTCAGTGTAGATGAAGAACTTCTAATTATTAACATGTGTTATATCTATATCAGCGATGAAACAATACTTGCAGTTACAACAAAAATCATCTAGCACGTCTCTCTTGCACAGATGACTGGCAGGCCCACCGCACTTGTGGGGGTGGAGCTTGTACAGTACACACAAAGTGAACGGAAACCTTTCGATAGAGTTCGTGCTTAAATGAAGCAACTGCTTCTAATATGACTAATTTCACAACTGAATTACCCATGTCTATTCGTATTGCAGGAAAGGCAACTCTAGTTAAATGGAGCGTACTTTCCCGGTCCAGCGAAATTCTGTTTATCGAGGGTTTACTTTACTTATTCTAAGGTTGTAAACACCTATGGTATCATTGTTCTGTCCAGGGTAACTATTGATCTGGTCTGAACAGTAAAAGTTGTGCTCTCGTACGAGTGCACAACTCTCGCACCCTGTTGTACAAAACGAGGTGTCATCAATGTTACAGAGTGACCGTCACTGTTGCTGCATTCCATCATCAACGCACCCGAAGCAGCGGACAGCGGTGATGCTGCTGACGCAGCTGGCGAAGAAGGCAGCGGCCGTGGTGACACTGGTGACCAGCATGGAGAGACAGGCGTGGTGCAGCGTGTCCCGGACTAGCTTGACCAGCGTGCCGCTGTTTTTCTCCGCCTTGGCTGCCCCCCACGTCTTGCAGTAGATGAAGGCGATGTACGCTCCAATGCCTGTGGCGGACGGGTGGGAAACAAAGGAAAAATAAATTGTATCAGCAAAGTTGGCTCCTAGTCAGATTAATTTATCAAAAAATATAACGAGTGCTCATCAAGAAGCAAGGTAGTACGACAACATGAACGAAAGCTTTGTAGTTAAGGGGGGACGTGGCAAGTAAAACTAATTTTTTTATTAATGTACTGTTTGTGATGAAATTTGGTGTGTGTATGTGGATGATTGTGAGGATTCCAAATATGAAAACCGTTTTCAAATACCTCTTGTACTTTTTGAGTTACAAGCATAATTATACTAATTAATGCTCTTCGCACTTAAAGAGATAATTATTGCTAATGAAATTATTTTTTCATATTATTATGTTCCCAAAGCATCAACTTGTGCAAAGAAGCTATTAGTTGATTTTTCTAGTTCTTGTAACCATAAATAAAATTTCCAAAACATGGATGTTGTTTTGCGCACACATCGCAGTAATTATAAAATGTGTTCTAAAAATTTTAAATGATGAGTAAGAAGAGAGATAAAGCTTTATTGCACTGCTAAAGGCCTCCTGAGCCTAGTGCAAAAAACGGAACGACTCTATCAGTCTTTGTTAAAAAATGACAGATGTTCTAGCGAAGGCACATAGGCGAAAATCAAGAGTTGAGAAAACTGACTTTGAAAGTTCACTCTTGTTTGGAAGTTCACAACATGCCTAAAACACTCAGAATCCTCCTGGGCAGTAATCCTGAGATGCTGTGGCCTTGGCCTCTGTAGAGCGCAACCCAGTTTTGCGCTTCTTTGTCGTGGAACAATGCGTCTTTTGAGCCCTCTTCACCCTTTTGGCATCCTTTTCGGCTGCTCGCCGCAAAGAGCAGTCTCCTGGATTGAAGCCCAGTTGAGCAGTGATCTCTTGCAGCGCACTCTTGCAGCCACCATTGAAACGGCAGACTGCATCTGCAACTGCACTTTCCACACTTCGAAGGGAGGCGAACTGGCTCTTGGACTGGAGTGACCAATGAGGCTGTTCATACTCTCCACAGCGTTCTGGGTTTTTCCCTGCGCACACCTTTCAAGGAGCTCTTTGTTCGAGAGGCGCTTGTAGATTGGCAGCAGTGCCACTCGCACGTGAGGGGGCAGTTTATGTTTGTGAGGCGGCAGCGGCTCTCCCTTGGCCAATGCCTGATTGTGCGGGCACCAGGAGTCAGTCCCACTTGGGCACAGGTCGTGGTGTGGATCCTGGTCTGTGGATGTTACATGGTAATAAGTGGCCATGATGGCCCTCTCCATGCCAGGAACATCGTTGGGGTGGCTCTTAATGGCCCAGCCATAATAATTCGTCAACTTCTTTATAAGGCCCTGCGTCAGCCGGCCTTTGCCAACCATGCTCAGTCCTCGGCCTTTGGATTTGTGCTCATCAAGAAGGTTGCGCAAGGAAGTGCCCATTCTTTTTTTCACATGGTTCACACACTCCTGTTTCTTAATCAACATGTAGCCATACACCTTGTCTTGCGTGAGGGCAAGGTACGTACGGCTGTCACCGTCGCAGAGCACATTGATGTATCGAAGCTTGTACTTGCTAAACGATCTTTCAAACATGATCCTCGCTGCTTCTACTTCCATTTGGCCTGCATTAGCATCGGTGTTCTTTTGGCACTGTGGCTTGTGTTTCTCAAGCCACTCCTCATAGTTGTCGTCACCAGGCTTGGGACCAACAGCACAGCCTTGGCAGTAGTTGGACAGGACACAGTGGTCCAAGACCAAGCCTGTGTACAGCTCGATTACACAGCCCACGCCAATATGACTTCTGTGCCCCCTCGTCATCCACGTGCCGTCGTAAATGACGTCAATGTTGCCTGGCACTCCTTCAGGTCCTTGTAAATGTCATGCACCTTCTGTGCACTTTCTGCTTCAATGCGGGTGGCAGCTGATGTGGTGGCAGGGTGGCTGTACTTCCTTTGCAGTCTCTGGTAGGACTTGTGGTGCAGTGCTCGATGCGAAATGTCCATCGCAGAAAAAATGTCATTTATGGCAAATTGTTTTCTGCCAACTGACTGCACAGCCCTCAAAGCACGCACGTTTACCTCAAAGGGGTTCGTTTTTTGTTGCCCGGAGCACCTCGGGGACGACCACGCACTGTTCACTATGCCACAATTGCCACAAAAAAGTTCCATCCTCGCCGCGAGTCCAAGGCAGTGCGTAGTCTCGAGGGGTATCGACCCTTCGTCGCACTTGTTGCACTTTACTGACGAAAGCAGACCGTTCAGCATCTTCTTATTTACAATGAAGAATGTGGAGTCCTTACCGCCGTCATTTTCGTCGCAGCCTTCGTTCAGAAGCTCGAGCTTCCGCTTTGAAGCGGATTTCGATGCTACGGCATCCAAAACATCCCGCCTTGTCTGCGCCCGCTGCGCGATTTCTTCACTGCTCGGAATCTGGGCCGAAACTCGCGATAGAATGTTCGACGCGCGCACGCCCGGAGTTGCAACGGCTGCCGACGCGGTGCCACCGCAATCGGGTTCGCGAGAGCGTCCATCACGGTCGACGGCATCCGGCGGTCTGACATACGACGATGTGGCACCTTCCACACTCTCGGCCTCACAACAATCAGCGAAGGGTCTGAGTAGAGGCTCCGTGACGCTTGAAGAGCATGCTCCGTCCGGAACTGCGACTGGGACGGCAGCCGCAGTCGTCTGCCCTTTGTTCCAAGCTTTCCGACGCTTGCCGTACTTGTGGACGCTCCGGAACTTTTTTTGCGACAACATAGCACCGCAGTATGAGCAAGCACTCAGAAGAGACCACCGATGTAAACAAAGCTTGGTAAAAAAAGCACGCGAACTATCACAAAAACAGCCAACTGGCAAAAAACGAAGCGCACGCCGGATGATTCTCGACTCGGCGGCCGCAGATGCGCTCGCGCTTCCAAGGTTGCCAAGGTGCGCGGCGCAGCTTTGACCAGTAAGAGGTCGCGCCTGCTACCACGTGACCCGCGCAGCCAATTGCCGTTCTTCGTTTTCGTTTTTTTACTTGCTCCTCGCGCTTTTATTTTCACTCGGCGAAATACGAGACCGCGACCATCGGGAAGCCGGCTTTCTCCTCTTTCCAAAGCTACCAAAATGGCGGCCCACGGTCAACAACTTGGCGCGTTTGTGCGGCGTGAACAACACCGTTTCAGGGGCTTTTTTTTCGCACTTTTCGGCGACTAGCCTCGGCAAAAACACTATTTGCGGGATTTGTAGCGCACGTTTCGCTGTAATATTTTAGAACAAGGAAGTTGAAGGTCTGAAGATTACGAAAAAAAATAAATCAGAAAATCGCATATTTTGACCAAAATCGGCACTTTACTTGCCGCGCCCCCCCTTAAAGACAAATCAGTTTCTGAGAAGTTAACGTTACTAAGTCATGTTCATGTCGTTTTCGGCACTACAAGGAGAAAACAACTGGTACCAACTAACCTATGATTCTGTAATTTTTTTGCAAGAAACATCAAAAGACAAGTTTCCGAAAGCTAGATGTTTTGATCATAGTCAAGTTTTTTGTCCATTTATAACGCATTTACTACTCGGGCAAACGTTTCACTTCTATCGATGTGCTTATTTCTTGCCGAACTGTTTAACACTGATTTCTTGACTATAGCATGATATTCATCCACATTTGGTCAGCAACATATGCGAGTGATAATTCAACTGTCACCTTCACTGTGTCAGGCAGGCCAACACTTAGTTCTGGTTAGGCAACGTCATTCATTCCAGTTATTCCTACACTGCGAGTGATTTTTTGAAGAAAGCCATGTTTAACTTGCCTGTCCTGTAGTTACATCAGAAATAATTCAACTGACATCTGTTTTATTAACTTTATCACAAACATTATCACGCTTACAATAATGAAGCGCTGGTCTAGTTGCTACGGATTCAGTATGTATACTCGAACCTCATTATAACAAACTTGCATCTTACACAAAAGTAAGTTCGTTATATCCGAAAATTTGTTATAAAGGTTTATTCTTAACACTAAATATATTGCGAGACTATTTTTCATTTACTTCGTTATAACTAATATTTTGTTATATCCGGATTCGTTATATCGAGGTTTGAGTGTATCTGTGTTTGCATGCCCTGTTTTTTAAGAATGACTTTTTCGTGCCGATTCAACTTTAAAAAGTCAGATTCTGTTTGAAACTAATGGCATTTCCCCAGGTTGTGATCACCATTTCAAAATAAGCATCCCCGCGTGTTGCTTTTGCACACATTGTCACATTGTTCGAGCATGCATTCAGCAGTACCACGTGCTTACTTACAGCAAGACTAATGTTTTTGGCGTCCCAGGAGCTAGCACGGCTGCAATGAATATGCATACGCATTTGTACGAGTGCATGTACATATACACATGAAAATTTAAAAATTAAGAGGTGTAGAGGGGGAGTGAACTCCCAACCACCCACTGTTCATGCCCGTGATACAAGATTCTGAGATATAGGCACCAGTTATATAACTGATATATATCTAGTGCAGCAGTCTCAAACTGTTTGAAGGCTGACTATATTGAACGTGGACCAAGACAAACAAAAGACAGGATGCACGTCTTGTTTTTCGCTCATCCTGTCTTTCGCTCGTCTTTGTCCGTGCTCAATATAGCTTTTAAAATGAATGTAAACCAACTAGCCCGACTCAGTGCCTCATCTCAAACATTTGAAACACACTAACGACGCAAGCGAGCAAAACCAAAATCAGCCACAAGCTGCCATATTACCTGCAGAGCGTCACAATTGTGTGTAAGTCCTGCCTCCATAGTGTTCTCTTTAATGTCAGGATAAAGTTGTCACCGAATATAGCAAATACAAGTTAGATGCCCCTCATCTGGTGTCTGCCAGTGAAAATGTACACTCATACCTCATTAAAACAAAGTTGAAATCTTACGCAAAAATAGGTTTGTTATATCCAGAAATTTGTTTTAAAGGTTTATTCCTAACACTGTATTGCAAGACTATCTTTAATTTACTTTGTTGATTTATATGTGAGGTTTAACGTCCCAACACCACCATATGATCATGAGAGACGTCGTAATAGAGGGTTCAGAAAATTTTGGCTCCCTGGGGTTCCTTAACGTGCACCCATATATGAGCACACGGGCCTACAGCATTTTCACCTCTATCGAAAATGCAGCTGCCACAGCCGGAATTAGACCCCGCGATTCGCGGGTCAGCAGCCGAGTACCTTTGCCACAAGACCACCGCACCGGGGCCATTTACTTTGTTATAACGAGTATTTCATTATATCTAGGTTCGTAACATCGACGCTTGAGGGTGTAGCATTCCATCTCACCTATGGCGATGGTGAGCGTGAGGACGTTCATGAAGGGGAAGAAGGAGATGCGAAAAACGGTCGTGTACAGGAAGTACGCCGTGCCCAGGGAGAAGACGACGGCCATGCACGTGACGGCCGTCACCAGGAAAGACTGTGTGTAGGCCCACATGGCTGCCAGCACTGTCACGCCCGCCAGGGCCACGTACACCGTGTCATGCAGGAGGTACTCGTCAAACAGGGCGTGCTTCAGGCCCAGCTCCATGCCGACCACCTGCACAACAAAAGACAGAGAGGTTTTACAGCAAAAGCTGTTATGAGATCACGACAAGGGTTGCTTTCGGTGCTGTAGTTGTCCGCCGCCACCTCTGGTGTCCACAACTACTGTTGCTCAAATAAGACAGAAATAAGCAAAGATTAAATAATAAAAATAATTATGCTGGCATGGGGTTTGAACATGTGCCCTCTCCGTGGCAGCCCAGTATTCAACCACAGGACCACGCCTGTGTTCGAAATTCCTTCACAAAAATACTCTAAATAGGCGTCATGGTGGGCAAGAAATGACATTAACGTTTAATATAGTGTGCTAAAAGAGCAAAATAACAACCAGGCGTCGCACAATGTGAATTATGTAACCAAACTACACTCAGTATGAATAGCGTAACGAGTGAGTTGTAAGATGCTTCCAATCAATTACAGTGGGCTCAGCCACAATTCATTATTGTCATAAGTCACCACATCCCCAAAGCGAACGTAATGACTTGTAAATGCATAGCAGGTAATTGGCTTTTCTGGTGAATGACGAACAATTGCTTCCCTACTTGAAGAAACCTGTGATATGGCGAAGCGGGTACCTTGCCAAGTGTACTTGTATTATTAGCCTAAAGGGAATTCACAGCAGGTTTTAGAAATGCCACTCTTCCGGCTTTCAGTGTGACTGTACAATGCTTTCTATGTAGGCCTGGCATTTTTTTTATTTATTTAAGGCCCGGTACCCAACTAAATCTTTTTCTAACAAGTAGAATAGAGGCAATAGAAACAGCAAGCAACACGTCAAAATAAAAAAGTTATTACACCTGAATATTCTGAACCCTTTGCTGTCCCAAACCCTTTTCCATCTTTTGTCTATTATGGTCCGAAACTAGAAGATTCAAAGCTCAAGTAAAAGTACCTTACCTTTACTTTTACAATATGTGCCATCTTTTACAGATTGCACATAACGCAGTGAAAAATGCATGCACTAAGTAACCGTCAAAAAACTTTTCGAGCCGTACCCGACGGTAGACTGCTGCGGTCGTATTGCGTGGTCGAGCAGGGGCGGACAATGGACCGCAAAGGATTAAAATGAGAACTGTGCAAATAACCAAGTTTTTGGTGTGGAGTGAGTTCAAATAATGAAGTGTGAATTGAATATTTTAAAAATATTTCTTGAATACTTCTATTATATTTTTTGAATGCTTCTAAATGAAATTGCAGGATAAAGTTGAAGAGGATTCCCAAGTATATTCTTATGAGATGGCAACATGAAACTGTTTATTTGGCTAGGTTGATGAAGCGCTAGCGGGGTGGTGTTCTATAGTTTACTTATCAAGAATAAGGCAATGCAGAGGTCGAATTTCGTTCTTAGGTATTCATACCAAAGCTGGTGCTGACTGAGTTAAAGTAGGTCTGTCACATACCAGTACAATGTATACTGCATACATTCTTTCTTCGAAACTCGCAAAGAATCGATTTATTTTATTGATTGATTGATTAACTTGACTGACTGATTGAGTGAGTGGTTCAGTTGCAACTACTTCTGTTAAAAAACAGCACCTTGTCACAACCTTCAGCAGCCATGCCTTCATTAAATTGGCCTGTTATTACGCATTATGTGCTGTATACATCAGGAATGATAAAAACTGATTGAGTGAATGAGGGAGTGACTCGCACAAAGGTGCGGCTTATAACCTGAGAAACAGGGTAAGTGCCACCTCAAGAACAGGGTCAGGCCCTGTTGGCACCTTATATGAGCTACATTACCTGAGTTACATCGCATTACCTGAGTCACATCATCTTCCAGGTGGCCGTACTCCTCCAGATCCTTGAAGTACGCCATGGCCATGGTGCTCTGCCCCAGCGGCAAAAACACACTGGTGTAGGAAAGGTGCGGTTCCCAGAGCAGCCTACCCTGACCGGACTGCGCAGACGACGAGTCATTCTGCCTGCTGCCTCCACCATCCTAGTCGTCGATGAGCTAGTCGCTGCCTGCCGTCCCCGCAGTTGTCAAACGGCGCGAGGAAGTCGACGTCGGCCAGGTAGTGGAGGATGGTGTACACAGCATTGTACTCGATGCACTCGGCGGGGACTCCGCGGCACAGCCGAGCCCCTGAGGCGCAGTCGTGGCTCAACTTCATGCTGTGGTAGTGCGGCGCACAGGCCTCCAGCCTCTTGAAAACCTGCATTGATGTGTTTATCTATGACCACGCTTTTCTATATATGAAGAAAAAATACTCTGATATGGTATAGCCAGAATCTTTTTTTTGCTTGGCACAATTACAGGACTCAAGCATTCAAACACATTTTTGCTTTCGAATAACGACTTCTATTAGCAATCGGTCACAACAACTGCATCACGTCAATACATATCTGGCCACTAACAGCAATGTTAGCTCTAATGTATTAAGTGTTGGAGTCAAAATTACGCTGATCTGACTCAAACTGTCATTGCTAAAGATGAGTGGGCATTACATGTTACGTCTTGCGACAGACGTGCCGAAGAATCAGACCAGTTCCAAGCGAACGATGTTTTTAAACTTGTGCTTGTGGATTCGTGGCCCGGGAAAGGAGGGCTGCGGCTAGCAAGCAGCACTCTGTTTATAACACTCAGGGGCACAAGAAGAGCACCTCAGACTCTTGTTTATTTGAGCACCAAGTGGCACAACATTACAAAGCTCTATATTTTCGCATTTCAGTTTGCAAGCTGTGGCTGATGGTGATAAATTACACACCAGCGCCGCATAATGGGTTGCTGCTTCTCCCGTTTGGCGTACGAAGCATGGAATCGATTGGGAAGAAAGAACGCATTACAGAAAAGATGCTGTTCCTTCCACCCAACCAGTTCTGCGCTCCCCTATGCAAGAAGTCGAACCAACTAGCCCAACAAGTGACCATTTTGAGACTGTTCTTAGCATGCCACGAGTACTATTTGCACTAATACCCATCAAACATGCTAGTGACACGTCACCTGGACTGGAACACATAGAGGTTGCAGCACTTATCCAAATGCAGGACCCCTTGCACAACTATGGCATAAGTCTCTGTTGTAACAGTAGTCAGGGGTGATGCCATGGTTTATTTCTTAATTGGGGTTGCACCTATGAAAAGTGATATCCTCTATGGAGCCAGGGAGACAGAAAACATATGCGTTGCTCGTTGACTATGCTTTCTTTTGGGAGAAAGTGAGGGGGGCAGGGGGGGGGGGGGGCAGGTGAAAATGGGGGGGGGGGTGCTCCTCCCCGACGTGAAACACCCCGACATTGCCCCTGACTGAACTATTTCAATTTTGTTTATTTATTGACACCGTCAGCCCTTCACGGGCTATAACAAAAGTGGAGTAAAATTATAATAAATAGGAATGTGTGTAAGAGGAACATGAGAAAAGAAACTATCACTACTGAAATGCATACAATTTTCATAGCACCCATCAAAATACATCCATCAAATCTATCATAATTGTGAGGCATGTAATTTAAACAATGAAGTTCATTAATCATACACAAAAATATAAAGCGTCATTGCTGAAACATATATCCTATTATGACACATATAAAAACACAAAATAAATGTCATAATCTACTTAAAAAGCAAGTACTTTGCAAATCGTATCAATGTTAGCACATAGTACTTAGGTACACTATGGAATTTATGGCTTCTAAGAACAGAGGGATTTCATTTTCACAACTGAATGCGGCAAAGAATTCCTCAGCTGATTCACCCTAGAGAAAAGGCTGCATCTTAAACAGTCATTGACCCATTATAAACCTAGTGGGGTGGTAAACTTCATACTGGCGGTCACTTATGGAGACGAACAATGCCTCTTTGCTGCTTACAAGGGACAACAGTGAAGTATCATTGAAGAGAGTGGAGTGAAAGGAAAAACAGAGGAAAAGAGAAGTCACCTTTGTCAAAAGAGTATTCACAGCATTGAGCACCAAGCTGGGGTACTTCTTTCCCCATCAGCGAAACCAGTAAGTTCCCAGTGACACTGGGCATCGAACCCAGTATACTTACAGCTTAGGAGGCCGACACTCTTACCGCTTGAACATCGCTGCAGTGCGTACGTGCTGCAACGTGCGCCCTTAAAGTACCAATAATGCTTATAGTCACGTCTGCAGTTCATAGAGGAGGTCCATGGCATGGCGTGAGCATTCATACTTGTCCGGATAACTGGCAGTGCGGGAACACACAACAGACGGAGATATAGAACCACACGGAACGAGCGCTCACATAGTTCTTTCTTTGTATGTTGTGTGTTCTGCGCTCCCAGTTCACTGAAAAAATGTGAACTACCTTTTGAGCCTGTGGAATGAGGGCTAAAAGGGTAAACTATTCTGGGGTTATGGTCATACGAGCAAATATTATGATACAATTCAGAGGCATGTGACAGAGGGGACATTAAGATTAATCCTGACTACCTGCGGTTCATTAACAGGCTCCTCAAGGGGAAACTGGAGCAAAACGTTGATTGGTTAGATTGATCGTCTACCTGTGTGAGTATACCACGGCTTTCTTGCATACGAATAAATGAAATGTTTATATTGAAAACAGCTATTGAAGGTCTCTGGTGCCACTGCTCGATTTGAGTCACCTGCATCGAATGGAGAACTTGACGTCCTCACCTCGGTTGCCACATTCTGTGAGTCAGCGGGCACCAGAGACCGCCATGGCTGTAATTTCGGGCACTTACTGCACCTCTATTTATTGCCAATGTTTGTGCAAATCACTTTCTATTCGTAAGCCACTCAGAAATCAGAAAAAATGATCGGAGACCATTTATTGAAGTACCCAAGCCTGACAGAGGGCATGCCTTAAATTTCTCGATTGCGTCGTTCTCTCACTCACAAGTGCCCTGTTCTGAAAAAGAATAACAAACCAATGCCTCCTCTAAAAAAATGCCTGCAACGTCGCATGCATTACTATAGAGACTGGAGGTTCCTCGTAGTTCAGTATTTTCTCCGCAAGGAGCGCTCACAGCTGACACCACTATTTCAGCTCGATTCAGAAGTTATGCCATCACAATTACACAACCGTGTTGCCTCCGAGATGACAGTGGACATTGCTTTAATCTCAGAGGTGGCAAAGTTTAAACTGGTTTAAAGCAGCTACCGCGGTGAGCACTCGCAGCCGGCACTGTTTGGGGGAACGGAGGAGGAGAGAACATGAGAGGATCGAGAACCAGCTCTTCGGCTCAAGTCGTAGGCATCTTTCCAGAGGAGGCATTGGAGAAACTCATCCTTACACAAGCTCAATCTTTTCACCTAGCTCAACTTATTATTTCCCTTTCAGTCCCCTTAAAAGAGCCATGACACCCAATTTTCAGTTGTAATGTATGTTAGTTAATCACTGTGGGTTAACAATCTGGCAAAATTTTGGTGCATTTCGTAAAGCACTTAATTTAAAAACAAATAATTTTCATATACATGCTAATGGCCTCGCGAGCCGTGATGTCGCAAGCTGTAGCTTTGCGAGTGTCTGTATTCTAGGGAAGAACGGGTTGCAGGAGAGGCACTTTTTCCCCTCATGCCTCACTGCCATTTGCACTCACCCAAGCTACACACCAGTGCTCTCTCTCTCCCCCAACGGCAACGCTACACTGGTTGGCAGCCCCCTCAAGAGGAAATCCTGCTGACGACCACGCAGAGAGTGATTTCTTAGTGATTTCTTTTCGTGATCAGCTGCGCATGCAGCTGAGCTATTTCAGCTTGGCTCCGCTTAGAATTGAATGATTAGCAGGAGTTGAAATTTTGGTAGAAGATGAACGCTCGGCGCTAGATGCAGTACATGACGTCATGCACGCCACGACAAAATGGGGGTCGCTTGCGGTGGGAGGGGTTTAAGTCGGCAACTTCTAGAGCGTTTTTTGAGATATTCTCCAACATTGAAATATTCTCCTACAGATCATTTTACATGTATGTATAGGCAAAATTAACCCTCTACTTCTACTTTTTGTTGTTCGCCTCGGTTACAGTTATGGTTGCGGTGTTTGGCCGCTGGCCTAATGGTCATGGAAGTGGCATTTCCAAGGAAGCGAAACGCTATATGTATAGGTTCGTATACTGTGCGATGTCAGGGCACGTCAAGGAACACCAGATGGTCAAAATTTCCGCAACCTTCTACCACGATGCCTCACAATCATACCCTGGTTTTGGGACATAAAACCCCAGATATTTTTATTCTATTTTCAATTCCAAAATGCTAATGGTAGGGTGAACGTGCCATTCGCTTTTAATGAAGTCCCACTCAAAACTCGATATAACGAACCCACACATAACGAAATATCAGTTATAATAAAGTACAAAAAATATTCTTGCAATAGTTATAGTGTTTGGAATATACCTTTAAAACGAATTTTCGGATATAACAAACTTACTTTCGAGTAATATAGAACTTTGTTATAATGAGGTTGGGGAGGCGTTGTATAAGTTTTGGAGATTGCAAAAAATGTTGCCTTTTAAGAACAACAAACCTTCTGGACGTCAGTGGCCGTGATGTCCATGCACGAAGACAGGTTGTGCAGCAGCGCGATGAAGTGCGGTATGGACCTGGAAGTGCAGCAGCGATGTGGGCTGACACGCTCGCAGATGGGTCGCAGGCTGTGGGGCGTCGGAGAACACCCAGGTCTGTCCGACAGATGGAAAGCAGCGCCTCCAGCGTGAACAGGTTCGCTCCGAGAACCGCCGGACCGAAGACCACGTGCCCGTGGTTTCGAGCTGAGAGGCGTGAGAAGCGACAACTTTGAAGACTTCCACTGGGCGGGTCGGTTTATGCGTGTATGAGGGGTAAGCTATACCTGTGCAATTACCACGAGTTTCACATTGGAGCTGTTATACTTTTTGTAATGGCGTTACGCACTTGCAAAAATTATCATCATCACGAATCGTCTTTAGCACTCTCCTAGCAAATGCACCGCACTAACTCAGCTGGTGCGCACTTGCTTCGTCCTCGTCTTTGTCTTCCACTTCGCTAAACGAACGCGGGCACCTGGCATGCACTCTCACACTGCGCAGATTCCTCCGGCGTTGGATGCCAAAGCTTGGATGGTCAAGAAAGCAAGCACAGAGAGAGAGAGAGAGAGAAAGACAGAGAAATATAAAATTCTTGGCAGAAAGAAATTTCTTCACAACGATGAGAACATTGTCAAAATGTTTTTACAGGCAGAGCGAAATATTGATAATATATAATAATGTAATATAATATGACTTCAGCGCTTGTCCTGTGTGTTCCTTTGTGGTGTAACGTCTAATTTGCACAGTTGTTACCTTTAGCGAATATGCGACCAGCCAGCCCAATGACTCGCACTTCGACAATATGATTTTTAGGGGCGAAACATTCAATATGTCAAGAAACTTGGTGACCCTTCTCCACAATGTATTTCTCGACACTCCCAATCAGCAGTGAGAAACAAAACTATCTGTCAAGCGCGGTAGACACTTCAACACCATGCACATTCTCAGAAAATATAACTGAAAAGAAAAACAACATCGAATATTTATAACCAAAAAATATGGGTGACACATCGATGGGACGTTGTAACACCACTGGCAATGTGGCAAGCCAACAAGATGCATATTATCAGGGAATTTAGAGTGAAACTTTTGTATAAACTTGAAGAGACCTCAGCAAAAAATTTATTAAATAGTTCGCTGAACTGACACAGCTACATTGCAGCTCGTCACCACAAGTTGAGTGTAAGATCGAGCGTTCAAATGAAATTACAGCTCATTTATTCATCATGCTACATATTTGCATTCAAATCTACGCTTATTGGGCTCTTGTGAAAGGTGCAGCAGTCTTTTATGGCAGTTGGACACTTAAGGCTGTAGTCATTATGAGTCATTGTCACCTTCCACAGCAGAACTTTGCTAAGCAGAAAAGGACTTCAGTATCTTTATACTCGCGGAAAACTTTTCTTGGCAATGAAGGGAAGGCTACGGAGCCAAACTGGGCATGTGCCACCACAGAAGAATATAATTCCAAAATTGTGTTCGCATCTTTCGCGTGAAAATCATAACAAACAACAGTAGCTTATTTTCTCCGGAATGTTGTTTATAAAGAGAGGCAGTGCACACCAAGGACATATTCATAATTATTTTACTTCACGAAGCATCATTTCGCATTTCTGTATGTGTGAAAACATAGCACGTTTTAGGTACACTGTCAAAATGGCGTCTTCGTCTTTCGATGAGTGCATGTTCCTCATCCAGCTATCATGACAACTCGTTGACAAAGCGTGTGACAAATTTCACTCGCAAATGGCTGTCTAAGCAGACATAGTAAACTGAATGCAGTGTTGCTATTCAAGACCGGCCATCATTCAAAGCATGAGCCGAACCGGACTACTTGGCGGAGGAGTACATGTAGAGTAAAGTAGCTCCACCCGCGTAGCTTTCCCTTCATTGCCAGGAAAACTTGTCCGGGAGTATAGGTGCATCACCATGCTTCTGCATAAAATACCCGGAGACATGGGGATTTCATTCGGCACTCACGACAGCCATCACGTGGTTGCAGGTATAGGCCTGTAGCTCCCGCGGCAATTATCAAGACTTCAACATTTAGCTCCCATGATACACCGTGTGGAGCTGATAGCAAAGGCCATGATAAAACTATGCAACAAAAACAGAGGTTGTACTTGAACATGATCGACCTGACCTCGAAGAATTTAGATGGTGTCCCAGAAGATGTTTGCAGAACTTAAGTAAACTATGCATTGAATTTCCTTGAACTGATGCAAATTAGCATTAGGTTTTATAGTGCTTGCATCAAAGATTTTAAAAAAAGTTCTCATAACTGGATTAGTCAATTTAACTGAAGTTTATTTGTAAGTGGTATTTTGTTACACCTAAAATATCATAAGAGAATGGAAACAAACATATAGGGGCAATGCTTTCATTGCACGCTGTTACTAGTGATAAGGGCAATATAATTTCAAATTTTAAAGTGCTTTGTGTTTTGAGGCAGATGTTGGTAGGTTGTAATTGTGTGATGGCAGAGAGAAAGGTGTGGTCACTTCACGAGATGCACGTTCATTTGATTGCTCACTTTGGACAGGACCGCTGTTGAAATAGCATAGCTGTGTCCTTCAATATAGCATGGTCATTTCCCTGCTTCTTTGTTACTTACTGCAGAAGCGAGTCCTCCATCTCCAGTAACATGCCCTGCTTGCCTCGAGAAGCACATTTCTGCTCATTTGCTTTTCCAACCAGACGTTCTCGGGGGCACCATTGTCGCATGCAGTTTTAATTTCTAACAACCAGCCAGCTGCCTGGGTGTTTCGCCAAAAAGAGTTGCGGAATTCTCACACCTCACAAAGGCTAACGCTGCTAACCTCCTCCAAAACCAAGGATGCTGCTAACACATTGATGATTTTCAAACACACTTTTGGGGTTGCTTTTTTAACGAAGTTCAAGAGGTGACTTTTACATGGCCATGGCCATTGCACGAGTGTACAGGGTGCTTCAGCTAACTTGCACTAAGTGTAATTTTAAATTCGCCTACTTTAATGAAGAGCTGCAAAAAATTAAACAAGGTAGCTAGCTTAGCATACATGAAATATTTTAATGTTGCTGAACAAATATTAACATTTTTCTACTGGATATTTTTTAGTAAAGGCACTATAGTGCCTTTAGTGAAAAATATTCAGTAGGAAAACGATAATGCTTGTTCAGCAACATTGGCCGGTAAACAGCCCCCCAGTCAAAAATGTGTGAAGTGATAACTGTACTCTTGTATGATATGGACATGCTGCCACAAGAGTTTTACGAATAAGTGCAGCAATAAGAATGTTACAGGGTGTAAAACAATCTGCTTTGGCTGGTTTTGGGTTTTCGCTCAACTTATATACCCACCCATCTCAAAGCCAGGAGGGTTGGGGTAGCCCATTGTGACAACACCCCCTAGGCGACAATGGCCACAATGCAGACGACCAAGAAAGGGCTCTTCTGTGTCCCTCGTGTCAGAGCAGTGCTAGGTTAAACCTGGCAACACAGTGAAAAGGCACGGTAAAAGCGCGCCCCAAACTGCAAATGTGTCGCACAGCATACAGAACCAATCGACGAAGCTGGTGATGCAAACCGTGCTCGACATTTCGTCACTGCGTGTACGATGAGATCGGACAGACGCAGGAGAGGATCGTGGGAATTTTTTTTTTTTTTTTTCGAAGTGGAGTGTCACCACGACGCACTGCACTGTGATATTTGCAGAGTGCGATCGCCACGGCCTTCTGCATGAAGTAGCGAGCAAGTTTTGCAGGTGTCAGAGCCCGTTCATTGGCCCCTAAAGGTTAATTAGCAATGTTATTTTTTGTAATTACACAGATTGGGACATCAAGAGAACACATCCAGACAACCTGCTAATGGCTTATAACAATACAGGCCCAACTGGATGCGTGTAATAGGTGTTTGTTTTTGTAATGTAGTCGAACCCCTTTATAAGAGACACTGATATAGAGACAAATAGGTATAAGAGACACCAGCGTGCCTACAAAAAAATACAGGCCATAGGGAAATGCATATGTTGTGCCACGATTATGAGAGACATGTCATATAAAAAACATTGGTGCCTGGTGCATGTCTCTTATAGAGGGGTTCAGCTGTACTATGCGCAAGTTAGCTAAAACACCCTGCATAAAGTAAACAGAATATAAAATATCTTACATGGCTCGCTGCAGAAGTAGCGTGGCCGCTGACGATTCCTCGGCGCGCCTTCTCCCCGACGCTTCCACATGGGGCCGAACTTCCGGCGCGACCTCCCCAGCTCCGACCGGGCGTCCTGAGGGTCTTTCTTGCGCTTGCGGCCTTTGGACGCCGGCGGACTCTGGCCGAGCCGACCGTATGAGCCCTCCTCTTCGTCTGCGGGGCGCACTTCTGGCTGACTCCCGTTTGATGGAGTTTCCTGCTGAAAGGAGAATCAGAAATTAAAAGAGAGAAGAAGACACGTTCAAGGAGTATTGACAAGGTTTTGGGATTTGGCGAAAGGAATTTTTTTTTTGTTTCTTTGGAATCCAGTATTAATGTTCACCACACATCGGAGCCAGACAACACGTATAAGATATTTTACTGTAATTTTTAAGTTTTCATTGCTGAGAAACGACAGGGCAGCCCCGCCTGCATCAGAGGTTATTCCAACGAGTCAACACAGCTCTACAGAGTTCGTGAACTCTGCGTGCTGAAGGCGACCTAAACTGCGAAAATCACTGTCGAGGTAATCAACTCATCACTGTTCACGTGTGTCACGAGCAGGTGAGAGATCTCCCTGTAGTACGTCACAAGTTGCTGTCTTCCCACAATGTCACATCTCAATGACACGTCACCGAGAAGCTGCCCCTTCGATATTGAAAGGGAGTGTTTCTTTTGTTATCTATAATTTCAAACGTATTGCTGGTCTTGTGATGTTACCTTTGAATATTTTATGCTACCTGTAAAGTATTCATCTTTGTTTTCTGCCACACAATAATGCCCATTGGGCGCTGTAGGTATCTGAATAAATAGATCTGAACAAACAAATAATGGGAACAGTATTAAGAAAATATATCCAATTTATTCCCAGGCACCACAATACCCGTGTAAGGGCTCTGGACACCAGTGATTTTCTTTAGAGCGACATTCGGAAAGTATTTAAAATTCATGCCGGTGCTCCTCCAGAAGGCAACAAAATATGACGAGCGGAGCTAGTTGGTTAATGTGGGAGCTATTATATGCTACTTTCAAGCGAATCACTGACTGTGTAAACCAAGAACAACAGCAGCTGCTGTCTCCAGACAGTCTATGGTGATGGTGCACCCGTCATGGTTTGTCATACAGTGATGTACTGGTGGCAAGGAAAAAAGCCCTCCACAAGAATTGCGACGCTCAAACATGCATTTGAACTCCCGCTCTTTAGGGCGCTGCTAAAGATGCTCACAAACATTACAAGACGCAATGCCGATGCCATCCTTACATGGCATTCTAGGGAAGAGCAGGCGTTACAACAAAATTCTACGCCTATGCATCCCTTAGAGCACTGCCCAAGAAGATCTTGTGTCTGTCGGCTCCACTGGTTGCCCACCTTTAACAAGTGAAATGGTCTCAACTTTTTTGTCGTTTTTTATGAGGCTTCAGAAGGTGACATACTCCAGTCTCTCCATTCACATTCATTAATCAGACATTTCGGCCCTTTGTCTGGACTGTCAAGATTGTAGTAGCTTTAGACACATGTTCTGCAGAGGTGCCCCTCTTTACAGGGGGAGTATCGAGAATTTTCTGAAAAACAAACACATCAACAAGGGCAGTTGCAGACACGCACAAGAAATCAAGGCATGAAACACTGCAGATCAAGTATTATAAGAATGCAAGTACACCCTCACCCACACATGTTCTACGAGTTTGTAATAAACACTTCAGCAACAGGGCAATTGTTTACTCACTAGGACTGAGTGAGAGACTACAGGACACATGCTCACATAATCTTGCTATTTCAGCATGGCTCCCATAATGTCTTGCCAATTGCCTTTTGCCAAAAACAATGCTTTTGTTGATGACCTGTCACGAATCTGCAAACTGTAGCTGTTTCAGACTTTATAATAAATGAGATAACTGACAAGCAGTACCCGTGTATAGTACGAAACCACAGAAAAATTTATCTAAATTTCTCAAAAAAAAAAAGCTGCTTAGTTGATGAAAAATTTGGCCTGTTTCGAGGATCAAGACAAACACTCTTCTTGAGCAGTTGTCCTTCCAATCAGGCCAGCCAGGAAGGTTGCAACTGGAAGTGTGAAGGAAAATTCGTCGACAACTTGATGCCCCCATGATACTGAATGTTGCAAATGAGTTCTACAGAATCCAAAAATGTGGTGCAAGGGTTACGAAAGGGATACCTGACAACCACCTGCCCCTATAGCATAAAGCCACACAGAAATCTGCACGGATTGATCAAAAAGGAAAGCTTCCTGGTTAAAGTTATGAAGTTATGCTAAATGCTCACCTCTCTGTCATTGCCAGAGGGCAGCACCGAGGGCGGGGTGGGAGAGAAGTTCCGACAACAGGTGGCACTGTCATGGCAGTCCTGGGCTTTTTGGTGACGTCCTGCGGCTCCGGGTACATGGACAGCATACCGTCCCAAGTGGATGCGTCCTGCAGGTTCTTCCAGGCTTCCAGCCGCTGAGCCAGCACTGTGCCTTGGGGCTCAAAGCCCTGCCAAGAACAGAAGCCACAAGACTTCAAGAAACAGCAGCTCCAAAATTTTGGCGAACAGGTACTCAGAAGCGACTGTCTGTAACAAAACTCCAAGACAAACATTAACATAACTGGACCACTTACCATATTAATGTCATTGAAATGCGTGTACAGGTCACATTATTTCTATATTTATTTTTTCTTACATTTGAATGTGATTTGTGGTATAATTCTGAGTGTAAAGTTTACACTCGCTAATTAAACCACAAAATGCCTTGTCTGTAACGGATTCCTGACTAGCCATATTGGCTACGGATGTTTTAGCAGAAATTTTTTTTATAAATCATCGCAATAAAAATAAAGCGTTCTTCTTCTGAAGCAATGCTGGGGAAACCTACATTAATAGATAGAGGGCGAACCAACGAAAATCTGTGCTTGGAGTTAATACACTGATAAGGAAACTGAGCCTGCCACGATGATCTAGTGGTCATCGTGCTCAACTGCTGACTCGAAAGTTCAGAGATCAAATTCTGGGCTGTGGCGAGCACATTTTCGACGAATGTTAAAATGCTAGATGCCCATGTACTTACGTTTTACATTAAAGAACCCCAGGTGGTAAAAACTTCTGTGGCACTCCACTACAGCGTCCCTTATAATCATAGTGCGGTTTTGGGACGTTAAGCCCAACAATTATGTTCTATGACGAAGGAGCTCAATTTCATTAGAGTGAGAGCAGCTGCTTCTGGCCCACTGAAAGGTACAGGAAAACATTATGGGCTCAGGGCCAGGCATCAGCAGGAGCCTTCAGAACAAGACACTTAGGCAAAAACAAGAAAAACACCTTTACTCATTGGGAGCCATGGCCAGACGGCCGAAAACCACAGTGTGGTCGAGAAAGCGCGGACATGCTCCCAGCCAGTCATTTCACATTGTTACAAACTATTGATGAGTTCTAACAGACAACCATGCAGAGGAAAGTATTGGGGATGTTATTAGAAATAGTTCTAATATAAATGTGAAGACGGAAAGGTGGACAAAAAGATTACTTGCTGTGGTCAGGGGTTGAACCTGGCACATTCGAGTAATGCCTGCAATGCTCTACCAAATGAGCTACCAGGGCGGCTATCCCCCCGTCTACTACATGGGATATATATGTGCATTAAATGTGGGAGCATATGTCAGCGCCACCAGTAGCCATGATGGCGAGGGTGGAACACTTATTACCAGCCTGTTTGGCTGTCACGTAGCACCTGAACCTATTACAAGCTGGCAGCTGACTGATAATCTCTCGAATACTACCTGGAGGCACCATGTTTTCCAGAACAAGACCCTCGCCAGTGGCCACTCGTAACGTTCCGCTTAGCAGGAATTGCACCTATTGAGAGATTAATAGGGGAGCGGAATTAAAGTACAAAACCAATCATAGTAGAGGGGATTGTTTCAGTGAAGCAGCATTTCTGTTTAAGAGATTCCCCATTTACTGAGAATCTACTGCTTGCACTCAGTACGAGTACATTGGTAGTGACTTTTTCATTCGCCAATAAACAGCAGTGTGCGCTCGGTCTGCTCTCAAACTGTAAATGCACACATTTCTCATATACTGAGCTCCCAATGTCGTGATGGTCAGCACAGGTAGGGCACGAAAAGCAAGAATGTAGACGACTCAAGTGCTGTCTAACAATTGAAAATCTTGCGGAAAAAAAACGTGGCATATATGAACAGAAAGAAAGGCACTAAGAAAACATTACCTACCCCCACGCAAAGCATCTAATCATATATGCTGCTAATATAAAACGTCAGCCTCTGTGAGAGAGATTGCAGGCTGGTTCGCGCCCTCGTCTTTTACTTTTACTGTTTGCAACGCTTCCGCGATTTCACGCCCGCTTCGGTCCTTGTGCCTCATCACTACAGCGGTCTTGTCTAGCTTTCTTGTTTTTTGTGTCCAATTCATGCAGATCATCATGACTAGGTTCTGACTAGCCTGATTTGCTACATTACTCGAGCTCCCAATTCATATATAGGCTCTCTACTCACTCGTGCTCATAGGAATTCATTCACAGTGTTCACTGTTACATGCATAAGCTTCACACCTGCAGTTCTTGTCTGGTTATCTACTCCATCCCTTTCTATACAGCAAGGTCACATCGAAAGCCAGGGCAGCATTTAAACAGCGTAATGTAAACTTCCTTGATGCTAATACTACAAGTACAGTCACAAGGTACCCACTACACCATAAATTATAATTTTTGGAAGCACCCACTAGGCCATTATTTTATTATTCATTCATACTGCAATCCCTATTACAGAGATTTTAGCAGGGTGGTTACAGATATAATTTTCACAATGTTGGCACTCAAGATTGCATAAACCAAACAAACATACAAAAAAATAGAACAGCATGATGTAACAATTAGGTCAAATTTGCTGCAAACAACTCTAAGGACGGCTCCATCACTTGGTTATTAGTTAATCCATTCCACTGAGTTACTGTACGAGGAAAAAAGGAATATTTGAAGCAGTTATTTCGGGAACGGAAAGGGGTTATTGTAAGTTGATGCCTTTGGCGGGTGGCGTACCCAGAAGAAAAGGAAATGATGTTGGAAACATCAAGCTTATAATGCCCTTTAATTATTTGGTAAAGAAATTGTAGTCGTATAAAACGATTTCTTTCGGTAACTGAAGGCTCATTGGCACGATGTAGGAGTTCAGTTATAGAAGTGCGTCCAAAGCTATTAAATATAAAGCGGACTGCCTTCTTCTGCACGTTTTCCAATTTAGTTATGTTAGCTTTAGTGAAGGGGTCCCAAACAATTACTCCATATTCTAACACTGGGCGAATAATAGTCCTGTACGCTAGAGTACGCACCGTGGAATTAGAATGTTTTAGAGCTCTTCGAAGGAAGAATGGTTTTCGGTTAGCGTTTGCAACTACGGAGTCAATATATTTAGTCCAGCTAAGGTCATTGGTAATCCAAATGCCAAGATACTTAATGTTAGTTACCTCAGAAAGGGTGAAACTTGCGGTGGAATAATTAAATAGTAAGGGTTTTTTCTTGCGAGTTATTCGCATAAATACTGTTTTATCGAAGTTAATTGACATCTGCCATAAATCACACCACTTCACAATGTTATAAAAGGCACTATTCAGAATGATTTGATCGGTTACATTGGATATTTCAGAATATATGACACAGTCATCTGCATACAACTTGATTTTTACAGGAACTTCATTCACAATATCATTGATAAAAATTAAAAACAAAAGGGGTCCAAGAACCGTACCCTGTGGGACGCCAGAGTCAACGGTTGCCTCTTCTGAACAGCATTCGTTAAAAACAAATTGTTTACGGTTTATAAGGTAGTCTGCTATCCATTTTATTAGGCGTGGATTTTTAAGTGTTTTCTCTAATTTAAAAAGTAATTTCTTGTGTGAGACTTTGTCAAACGCTTTTGAAAAGTCCATAAAAATGGCGTCAGTTTGTGTCCCATTGTTAATTGAAGTTGCGAAATCGTGAATTCTCTCGACAAGTTGCGTACAGGTTGAATAGCCTTTTCTGAATCCGTGCTGGTGTTTTGTTAAGATATTATGCTTACTAAGAAACTCAGAGATATGCGTATGTATTATGTCTTCTATAAGTTTACAGGTAGTTGACGTTAATGAAATAGGACGATAATTTGAGATAAGTTGCTTTTTACCCGACTTATAAAGAGGCTTGACTCTGGCGGCCCTCCAATCATCTGGTACTCGACCTTCGTGTAGCGATTTTGAAAATAAAACATACAGATATTTGGCGATCCACCCGGCATAACGCTTTAAAAATGCGTTTGGAATGCTATCCAGTCCGGGTGTCTTTTTAACATTGAGTTTAAGTAGCATATTTAGAATGCCATGCTCACTGATAACGTCAGGTATAGGTGGATAATCTGCATGGAATGAGGGAAGAACATTATTGTCAATGGTGAAAACCGATTTAAATTGTTGATTAAAGGCATTCGAAATAACCTTGCTATCATGCACATCAACGCCATCAATTACAAAAACATTACATTCAGTAGATGTAGGCTTAATGCTCCGCCAAAATCTCTCAGGACACGTTTTAATGAAGTTTGGTAATGATTCACAATAATACAGCTGTTTGTCAATATGGATTTGGTGTTTTAGTTTAGTTGCAATTTCTGAAATCTCTTCGTTTATACCAGCGATATTCCCAAGACTACGACGCTTTTTTAATCGTTTTAGCTTCCTTTTGAGATGCAACGTGTCCCGAGAAATCCAGGGGTTCCTTTCTTTCTTCTTTTTAACAACACATGGAACGAAGCGATCAATACATTCATTCACCAAATGTTTAAATGAGTCCCAGTGGCCTTGCACATCAGCAGTACTGTTTAAAAACGAGTCGAAGTTGAGGGAGAGGAGAGCTATAATTGATGTATCGTCAGCTCGCAAAAAATTTCGAAAACATGGCGTTTTTTGTTTCCGTGCCATAAAGCCATTTGCCAGGGTCAATAGTACAGCACTGTGGTCAGAAATACCAGGAACCACTTCACAGGTGGCCGAAGACTTAATACATCACTAACAAAAAAGAGATCTAGTACTGACTTCGAACTTCCCTGCACCCTAGTGAAATCGTGAACAACTTGTAACAAATCAAAAGTAAAAGCAACGTCGAGCATTGCTTCTCCTATGATATCGTTATGCTTAGTAGTTGAAAGGGAGGTCCAATCTATATCTGGTAGGTTGAAATCTCCTGATAAAATTATCCGAGCTCCTGACTCTGCATGAGTGCACAGATATTTTTTTAATTCATTGATGGCTTCAGTGGACGAGGTCGGGGGTCTGTATATGGAAGCTACATTATATTGATTATTATTGTGGTACATTTTGCAGAATAAGCCTTCCACTTGTGGAATATCTGGCATCCTAATTACTTTGAGACATTTCTTAAATACAACTGCAACGCCTCCTCCCTTACTTTCGCCATCTTTTCTTAGCATACTATAACCAGGTGGAATTATTTCACTATCAAATATTGGACTATGCAACCATGTTTCTGTAAGTGTTATTAAGTCTGGATCATGAGTAAGAAGCAATAATTCTAATTCAGTTGCTTTGTTTACCACACTTCGGCAATTTACATTTAGGATTCTTAATGGCTCAGATACAGGATCCCGACGTCAGTTTCCCTTCTTCTTCTGAAGTTTAAAGCGCGATTTTTCGGTTTCATTCCAACCATACAGGGTGTCATCAATGCTCAATTTGTCGTATATTAGCTTAACCTTTGCGCCATTTCTCTTTTCTTCGGCCGCGCTCTTCCACAAATTTCTTCGTACTTCCCGTACCCTGTTAGAGAAGTCCTCAGAAATAGACATCGTAGTTCCCTTTAGCTTAAATGCGTTCGTTAATACAGAAGTCTTTTGCCGATAATCTAGAAATTTTATGATTACTGGACGTGGCTTATTTCCAACCTTACGGCCAAGCCTATGGCATCGTTCAATGGCGGATGTCGTTACCTCAAGGTTTTTCTGAAAACATTCTGTTACTTCATTCAGTAGTTCCTCGTTAGATTCTCTAGCAGGTTCTTCTATTCCATATATAATTAAGTTATTTCTGCGGGATCTGTTTTCGAGATCGTCAACTTTCGATACAAGCATACAAATCTGTTCATCTCGTTGTGACATAGCAATCTCGATACCTTGTACTTTACTTGTCAGGGTAGCTAAAGCAGATAACTGCGCTTCAACCCCTTCTATGCGCTGGGTTAAATCAGAAATTTTTTTCTCGATTCCAAAATGAGAGCACTTTATGGCGTCAAGCGAGGCAGTAATTTGTGCCTGACCATTTAACAGTTCTGACAACATCTGCTCTGTAGGACCTGGGTTTGCCTCTACATCCCCGCATCTCAACAGATCTAGCGGCACAGAACAAACAGCAGAAATTACACCCCTTAAACATTCGTACATTTTGTACAGAGGTAAGCTACCCGCTAAGCTTCTGCAAGGCATTCTGTACGCTTTATTGATGATGTGGCTAATGACGGAGAACTATGGCTATGCTCTTTGTAATTAGGAGGAAGCATTAAACCACACGCTTGTAAAGCAACACACAGGCTGTGACGCCTGGTGCTTAACTCCTATAACGCGCTATATTACCTCTGTAAACACAATTTCTCGTCCAACATAGCACCTGCGGAGGGTCTTTTTTTGGAGGAATTTCAAGTGCTGGCGTGACTCAGCGGTACAAGAGCCAAGTGCCACGAAGAGTTGCTGGGTTCGAAATCTGCTGGAACTGTGCTCTCGTTTTTGTCACTGTACCCGGTGCATGCTATGGACACCAGCCCCGGCCGTGCTGGACTATCCCATCAAAATCGGCCGTCGATGTGGTCTTGTAAGAGATTCCACAGTAAAAGTCCTGCTCGTGCGTCATCTCCAACAGCAATTTTAACAACCGTCTTGCATACACCCTCAGTCCGGAGAGCATGGTCATTAGGCCCGTTTACATAGACCCGACGAGGGCGCGTTGAGTCGAAACAAACAGGTTTTCTGGACTCGCCCTCCCCATGTATAAGCGGACGCGTCGGGGCGGAGAGTCGTCGCGGCGAGTCCCGTCGACCCAGAGACAGGGGTAGGTTCACCGAACTCGTCGTGCTCAGAAAAGGCATGTAGTTGACGGCTCGTGACCTCTACCGCCTGTCGCGGTCTCCGCTTCCCCTGTCCCCATCACTCCGACATTGCTCTTTCTCTGTCGGCTGGTACGCGCGCGCTAGGCACGATGACATTCTCGCGGGCTCGACGCACCATGTGGACAGATGATGAAATAACGACGTTGCTAGCTTTAGTCTACGAGAAAAAACTGAGCGATTTGCTCCAATCCTGCAAGGAAATATAAAAAAATAGCAAATTACTTTCACTTTTAAGCATAAACGAGGCACAATAGAAATAGAGGTGTAAAATTAAGGCAAAATGGTATGCGGCCGTATGAATTTTTACGTAAGCCGATAAAAATTTTACTCAAAAATGTATATTGCATTCCAATTGAAATTACAAGCCCTCAGATTAAAAATTCATCGTGTAAGGATCTCACTGTCCAGTCGAAAAGCCACAGAAATCAGATTAGCCAAACAGGGTGAGCGTATGAGGCAAGAGGAACACGGTGCACTTGATTGTGGTGGAACTGTACACTTTGTTCCAACAATTGATGAGGGTCTTTAGTCATTTTCATTAAAAAACTGCTTATTGTTTTCAATTTAAAATTTTCAACGAGGTTCAGGGCACTGCTTAATTCGTATTAGCGACAAGCCCCAACTATTGCAAAAAATGACTCGCGTGTAGGGCTTCAAAGGATTTTCCACAGCATGTGGTACACAAATGAAAGGCGTTACAAACCATAAATCACGGCGAATTCCTGGAGAGACCAGCCAGGGGTGAACGTGACGGTGCGTCAGGCTGCAGATACGCCTGCGGCGAGCGCTGTGCCGCAACAGAACCACTGCTGCCATCGCGTTTAGCAGTGTTAGCCAAGACACCAACACAACCATAAAGTACAGCTGGTGCAAACTGAGAAAAAATACCAAGACAGCCATCGCGGTGGCGGAGCGACAACTGGTGGTGGTGGTAGTGGTTCTTGAGGAAAAGGAAGAAGGCACCTAATTTCTGTCTGCCTACAGGCGACACGGCGCAGTGCTTTTGGGGGGGGGGGGGGATGAAAGAGGATAGGAGAAATAGTGGTGGTGTGTAGGGAGGGATGTCCGGTCCGCTTCAGCGCGAGCAGCAGGCCGTCGGCAAGGGCAGCATGGCTCCTGGGATCAGCCGTAGGCAGCAATTTCCGACTCCTCCACGAACTCCGCCAGGCTGCGGAGTGCTGCTGGATGTGGACGAGACGGGAACAGCAGGTGTTTCAGGGTGGAGACGGGCAGACCCTGTCTCCTGTAGGCCGTGTAGGTCCTCAAGCGTTCCTGTGCTAAGCCAGGGCAGGCACAGAGGAGGTGTTCGAGGGTCTCTGAGTATCCGCAGCGGCTGCAGGCCGGTGAGGGACAGAGGCCCTTGGCGTGGCGCCGGGCCGCCGTCCATACGCAGCCAGTCCGCAGTCGTAATAGGGAGGCCCGTTCTCTCCTGGTGAGGCCCGTCTCGGGGAGAGGCTTTGGTCCTCGCCCGCTGGCCACCCTCGGTTCTGGGTGGACTGTGACGAGGAGCCTCTTGAGACGGGCCTGTGAATAGTCCCTGGCCGCCATGGCACAGGAGTAGGGAGTACCAGGCTGGTGGGCAGCCTTGGCGAGTGTGTCCGCCTTCTCGTTTCCAGCGATGCCCACGTGGGAGGGCAGTCAGTGGAAGGAGACGGACACCCCGGCGTCGATGAGGGCGCGAACCTTGGCTCTCAGGAGGCAGGTCGTCAGTCCGGCACGGCGGGAGTTGGCCAGGGTCTGCAAGGCCGCCTTGCTGTCGCACAGGACCGCGGCCAGCTCAAGGGGGATGTCCTCAGCCAACAGGTCTACCGCGAGATGCAGTCCAGCCAGTTCCGCAGCCGTGGAGCTCGCCGGGAAGGGTAGCCTGCACTGCCGGCTGTTGGTTCTGGACGGGATTACGCATGCGGCCGCTGCGGTCCTGTCTGGCATCACAGATCCGTCCGTGAACACATGCAGCCGTCCGTCCAGTTGTTCCTGGAGCTTGCAGAAGGCCGCCTGTTGCAGTGCGGCCGCAGGCATCCCTCGCTTGGTTGCCCCTTCCAAGCAGAGGTGGACCTCTGGTGGCTGGTGGTGAGGTGGTGGAGAGTCAACCGGAACTGGTGGATCTGGGACCATCTGGTGGTACAGCAGGCAGAGGCCTCCCATCCGTGATCCTGGCTGGCTGCGGAGACGCTCCAGGAGGGCCCTGCCGTCGGTGGCGCCGTGAAGGCGGTCAATGTGGCCCAGTGCACGTTGCAGCATACGTAACGTCAGGGGCCACTCTCCTGCCTCCGCGAGAGTCACTGCCACCGGCGAGCTTTTGGGAAGCCCCAGAATGGCCCTCAGTGCGCCCCTGTGGAGTCCCTCCAGCAGGCGTCTCCTGGCCGGTGTCAGGTTCACCAGCGGGAAGGCGTACAGGAGGACCGAGGACGCCGCAGCCTGGTTGAGCCAGAGGGCCCGCTTGGTGGAGCAGCCGCGGCCACGCAGCTGCAGCCTGCTGATGGCGCCCTGGACGCGCCGCACCTTAGTGGCAGCAGCCTTGGCAGCCGGGATCCAGGTGAGTCGGTGGTCGATGGTGAGCCCCAGGTACTTCACAACCAACCTCCAAGGCAGGCTGCAATTGCCAATCTTCAGCCGTCTCACGTGGGTGCGAGCTGCCGCCACCGGGTGAATCAGCAGGGCCTCAATCTTGGTGGCAAAGACCTTAAGCCCGATGCCTCCGAGGTAGGTTATCACTGCATCGAGGACCGCCTGCAGTGATCTCCTGATGGCGGGGATGGACCGCCTTGGTCCCCGGACCCAGAGTGCCACGTCATCTGCGTAGACAGAGCAGCGGGCCGGGAACCTGGTGCCTGTTGGGAGGGACGCCGGAAATCCTGCTAGTGCCATGTTCAAGAAGAAGGGGCTCAGTACTGAACCCTGTGGAACACCAGCAGGGATGACCCTGGGTTGGCTGGTTGCCCCTCCAACGCGGACGCGGAAGGTCCTCTCAGACAGGAAGGCGGTCACGAAGCCTCGGAGGCTACCGCTGATGCCGAGGCGGTCCAGGGCCACCTCGACCACCACGTGTGGGAGTCCGTCGAAGGCACTCTCCACATCCAGCAGCAGCAGCATGGCCACGTCCCCGCTGCTCCTGGCGTCCTCGAGGGTAGCGACGACGTCCGAGATGGAATCTGCCGTGCACCGGTGTCGCCTGAAGCCCGTCTGCTGCTCCGGGAAGAAGCCCAGGTGGTCAGCAATCCACTCCAGTCTCTCCAGAGCCACCCTCTCATCACCTTGCAGGGCGCGGAGGTGAGAGACACAGGCCGGTATGAGGAGAGAGCCGTGGCCGTCCTCCTGGGCTTCAGGATTGGCGCCACCACCGCAGTTTGCCAGGACTCGGGTAAGACTCCGGTGCACCAGACGTCGTTGTAGTATTCCAGGAGTCGTTGACGGCCACCTCCATCTAGGTTGCGGAGCATTTGGAAGGTGATGCCGTCGGCCCCTGGAGCACTTCGTCGCTTGGTCCTCTCGAGGGCTGCCACCAGCTCGTGTATCGCTATGGGCTCTTCGGACAGCTCCCGCACCTGCGCAGACACCCATATGGGATGATGACAGGAGGTGGGGCAAGGGAGGGCAGCAGGCGGTGGCAGAGCAAGCAGTGGGGCTCTATCTCTGGCAGCAAACTGGACAGCCAGTCGTTCTGCCAGGTTCGCAGCCGTGATCGACAGG